GGCTCAGGTCATGATCCCAGTGTCCTGGGATCGAGTCCCGCATTGGGCTCCCTGCTAGGCGGGGAGCCCGCTTCTCCCTCTGCCTCTGCTTCTCTCTCTCTCTCTCTCTCTCTGACTCTCATGAATAAATAAATAAAACATTTAAAAAAATGTTAGTGTATATCTCCCACAGACAAGTATATTCTGTTACATAATCACAAGAACCATCAACACCAGGAAATTAACATTTATACTATCCTCAGACCCCATTCGTTTCTCTTACTGCCCCTGTAAACTCTCTTAACAGCAGTCTCCAGTTCAGAATCATGCATCTCATTAGATCAGTTTTCAAGTCTCTTTCAATCTGGAACAGTTCCTTGGTTTTTAACTTTAAGAATGTTGACAATGTTCAAGATTTCAAGCCAGTTATTTTGTAGAATGTCCCTTAGTTTGAGTTTGGGGATGTTTTTCACGCAGTGTTCTTTTCACTACATACAAATGGCACATAATTTCATGACTTCCATAACTTTGATGAGTTGATTAAGAGAGTCTCTGGCAGGCTTCTCTACTGTGAAGTTATTCTTTTTTTCTTTTTAAGGATTTTTTTAAGATGATTTTTTTAAAAAGATTTTATTTATTTGAGAGAGAGAGAGAAACAGCATGACAGGGGAGAGGGTCAGAGGGAGAAGCAGGCTCCCCGCTGAGCCCGGAGCCCAATGCAGGACTCAATCCCAGGACTCCGGGATCATGACCTGAGCCGAAGGCAGTCGCTTAACCAACTGAGCTACCCAGGCGCCCTTTTAAAGGATTTTATTTATTTTTGTGAGAGAGAGAGAGAGAGAGTGGGGGGGAGGGGCAGAGGGAGAAGCAGACTGCTCACCGAGCTGGGAGCCCGATGCAGAACTCAATCCCAGGACCCCGGGATCATGACCTGAGCCGAAGGCAGTCGCTTAACCAACTGAGCTACCCAGGCGCCCTTTTAAAGGATTTTATTTATTTTTGTGAGAGAGAGAGAGAGAGAGTGGGGGGGAGGGGCAGAGGGAGAAGCAGACTGCTCACCGAGCTGGGAGCCCGATGCAGAACTCAATCCCAGGACCCCGGGATCATGACCTGAGCCGAAGGCAGATGCTTAAGGACTGAGCCACCCAGGTGCACTACTATGATGTTATTCTTTTTGCCTTTGTAATTAATTAGTATTTTCTGGAGAGAGATTTTGAAGGTATGTAAATACCCCATTCTTCATCAAACTTCCCATTTCCTTTTATCAGACAAAGTCAAATGGTTGCAAGTTTGACTAAGTACAGATTTGTAACTCTAACAATAAGATATTTGGCTGCCATTATCCTTACTATATTTACTTACTTTATCAGTTCACCTTCATGTAACCATTCTCCATGCTGGGCTACCCTCCTGTGTAGGTAACCTCTTTCCTTCTTGGCTCCTACAGTCACATGCTTATCTACCTTGCTGACACCACTTAAAGGCTTTAGGACTGAATTATTTGAGAAGAGATGGTAAGGGAATAGGAAAAGTAAGAAGACATCACTCTTGGGGTGCCTGGGTGGCTCAGTTGGTTGAGTGTCTGTCTGCCTTCTACTTAGGTCATGATCCCAGGATCCTGGGATCCAGCCCTGCAGCAGGCTCCCTACTCAGTGGGAAGTCGGCTTCTCCCACCCCCTGCGCTCTCTCTCTCTCAAATAAATTGTTAAAAAAAAAAACATCAGGGGCGCCTGGGTGGCTCAGTTGGTTGGGCGACTGCCTTCGGCTCAGGTCATGATCCTGGAGTCCCGGGATCGAGTCCCACATCGGGCTCCCTGCTCGGCGAGGAGCCTGCTTCTCCCTCTAACCCTCCCCCCTCTTATGTACTCTCTCGCTCTCTCAAATAAATAAATAAAGCTTTAAAAAAAAAAAGACATCACTCTTAAACTTAATGAAGTCTAAATATGTAATAACTTGGGGGCCATATTATAATACAGAATCTCTGCACAGGAGTGTAATACCCTAAAAATGACTTTGCAAGCAGAAACTATGCAAAGCAACCTTAATAATCAATGGGGAAAATCACAATTATTCCATGACCTTTAAACTTCTTTATCAAAACATGAAAAACCCTATCAGTTATAAATGTATAAGGAAATGGATATAGTATAATTAAATTTATTTAGTACAATCTAAAACATTAGAAATATTGGGGTACCTGGTTGGCTCAGTCAGAAGAGCACGCAGCTCTTGATCTCAGGGTCTGGAATTCAAGACCCGCACTGGGTGTAGAGATTACTAAAAATAAGTAAACCAAAAAATAATAATAAGCCAGAAACATTAAGAATTAAAGTGTTTGGGGCACCTGGGGCTTAGTCGGTTAAACATCTACCTTTGGCTCA